TTGCGTCACCTAGGCTCGGGATAGGATATGAATATGGGTAAGGATAGCATACGGCCCATAGACGGTTCCAATGAAGCTTGATTTTGGAGATCTCAACAGTGAAATGCATCTCCGAGTACAATGCTTTTGGTATGTACACTAGGGGGTGGTGAAGTGAAAAGTGCTGCTGCTTCCCACGGGCACGCCCAAAGGGTCAAATTCGGGATTATTACGTGGCACGCGGTAATGTTACGTGCATCTCACAAGTTGATGCCGACGAACATTTTATTGATGTTCATTCTAAGATACATCACAAAGCAACCACCGAGAGGCAAAAGGAGCGCGAAAGCGCACAGAGCAGAAAAAGCCCCTCTAATCTCCCAATACAATCATTTTATACCCACACTGTTCCTATGCTCCGCCTATCGTGAGTTTCCTCACGACACGCGGTACAATAAGTGGTTCACCAAGACAGAAGCGACTTTTTCGCGTTTCGCAGCGCGAAACATTTTTCGCTGCGGAACTCAGGTCCACTCATGATCAGCGGTGGACCTGAGGTTCCGCAGCGAAAAATGTTTCGCGCTGCGAAAAGCAAAAAAGTCGCTTTCTGTCCTAGTGAACACACCTTGCCGTACTGACAAACCATGCCTGCCCTCCATATCGATTATTTGGCACTATAGTTTTGTGGGAGTGTAAGAACACTGATCCGCACATCTGTTCGCCTCATAAGTCATTGTATAAGCCACATCGCGTTCGAAATCACACGATTCGAATGAGAGTAGAGAACATGATGCTCGCAAAAAGGGGTCGATCAACACCCAACGCTTTATCCTTTGTCCCTATATAAAGAAGCTTATGGATTAACACCTTGGAGCCCACGCAGCCCATATGTGGGCTGCAGTCCTCCGACCGCATAGGACCTTTCAGCTCGCATTTCGTAAACAATTATTAGGTTTTTCATTCATTTTCTTTTCCATTTTATCCGATAAGATTTCTTCTGCATTATACAGTGGGTTCTTCTTTTGAATTTGCTAGATAAGATCCCTAAAAATTTCACCGAAGTCCCGCGCGGCCGCGGAACGTAAAACACGCGCGGTCTCCAAAGTGTTAAACAAACTGGTAGCAAAATCGGGTAGCTTACAGGATTTGAGATATCAATGTTTTGTAGCAGGATAGTTGTGATAACACTCTTAGGGCTATATAAACACCTGCTTAGCACACTTCCGTTCATTCCACATGGTGCTGCAGTGGCAGCTGGAGGGCAATGGAGGAAGGAGGGGGGGGGGTGGAAAACCAATCACCAACAAACCTAAGGTGCACCTAGGTATTGATAAATCATTCCAGCGTCATGTCGTGATTATGCCAATGTCCTCCGCTACACAAAGCTCCTTTTTGTGAATCGAGTCACCTCCACGATGTTACAAGTGGAACGCGCCGCAGCAGAAGACGTAAAGCTTATGTAGGTAATGTATGTGTGGAGGCGAGTACTGTTGACGAGGGGCCAATCTGGCTATGACCTTATTTTCACTACCCTTCGATGGGGTTTCGAAGACATGGTTGGGATTATGAACGACTCATGATTCTTTGCAGTTGAAATAAATTACTGTAGAGCATGGCGACTTTTTAGGATCAGGCGTGCTGATGTGGTATTGGAAACCCACTAATATTTGACTTTTGAAATTTTGCAAGTTTTTGAGTTGTCAACAAACAAACGATTTGCTTGGCAGTATACAACTATGAGCTAAGTGGATTATCATCCAGATTCGCGTCCCTCCTCAACCCTAGAACATCCCTTCCCTGCGTAAGGTTTGCGCCTTTTCCTGTACTCCGTTCCCTTGTGGCACCAGCAGAGGTGACTCGTATGCACAACACGATTTTATATAGTAGAGGGCATTACAGCAATCACAGCACGACTACAGTAGGATTTCAGTTCTCACTGTGACCTTAAAAATATGGATCCGCACAAGATTGGAGGGGGTTTCCTTCTCTGGAGTCATTTGACGTGTTACATCGCTTTATATACCAACGTCCAAAACGAGCAAGCCTTGCAAGCATTGTCAGAAATGCTTGACAGGCACATCACTCGTATACGTACATTTGGACTCGATAAAGCGCACATAATGACTCTAATCAAGGAATGTTTGAATTGTAATATCTTCAAATGGGCAGGTACGTACTACTCCCAAATTAGAGGGCTTGCCATGGGTCAGCGCCTTGCACCAGTTCTCGCTATTTGCTTCATGGGTAAAATAGAGGAGCCGGTGTTGGAGCGCTTACCTTTAATGTATTGTAGATATATTGATGACTGTTTCATAATAACATCAACACAATCCGAAATGGATGAGTGTTTCCGCTTGATGAATGAGCAGTCACAATATATCAAGCTGACACGCGAAACACCTAAAGACGGTTGGCTACCCTATTTGAACACGCAGGTCAAAGTATCCGGTGGCATCGCACATGTAAAGTGGTACCGTAAAAGCAGCTCGAAGAACATCTTGATTCACGCGACATCGGCGCATCCTACTGCCGTCAAACGTGCTGTTGTTAACAACATGTTCAAAACGGCAACAGGAATGTGCACTGGTAATGTCGAGCGAGCAGAATCACGACAGCTTGCTGCGAGAATAGCTGTTTGCAAATGGCTATACGGCACCACATCCTAGAATACGGCAGCATGTTGGCCCACGAGAGGTACCACGTCGAAGTAAACTGCCCCTGTGCATCCCTTTCATATCGGATAAAGTTAGCACTGCCATCCATCGGTGCATAATAAGAGCCCAATTGCAGGAAGATGTCCAGTTGGTGAATATTCCCAACGAAAACATCAAACGGCAATTGGTTCGTAACAGACTTTATGACAAGCAGTGCATATCCGAAAATTGCGTTATCTGCCCGCATGGAAAACTTGGAGATTGTGCTCATCTTGGAGCAATATATGAGATTAAATGTCAGGCATGTAACGCTACGTACATAGGGGAAACAGGAAGGGTTTTAGCAATTCGTATCAAGGAACATCTTGCTAATTTGAGACGCGGTACTGTGACAACACCTTTGGGAAGACATAAGGTTGAGGAGCATAACGGGAATGACTTTGAAATAAGGTGCACGCTGCTGGCTCAAGAGACGGAAATTTCCGCGCGGAAGGCATTAGAAGCATTCTGGATATTCACTAGAAATCCAAGAATGAACAGCCGCGATGAGTGTCCTTCAATAAGAACAAAATGATCTACTTGCCGTTCATGTCTGCCATGCGAGCTGGATATGAAATGACAGAAGCGTATACGTGCGATTCCGACTTTTTTGACATAAGGAGAAGTATTGGCTATGTCTTCAGTTTAACTGATCAGCGCTCTGTGTGGCAGCGGACTTTTCCGCTTGAAAGGGTGTAACCGACGGTGAGTTTATTTCTTGCGCTGTCCTGATCTTCTCGAGGGGTTTCTGACACGATGTCGAAACCGCTAGAGTTGATGAGGCGCTTGGTGGTGTAGAGCGTAAGTCTAACGCTTGAAACACGTTCAGGCCTCTGAAGACGACGATTCAGTCGAAACGTTAGGCCATTAATAAATGTTCCACCGAACAACCTCGTAAGGCACAAGAAAATTTGCTTAAACTTACAACTGTAGCGTTTTTTCCCCACCACTTTCCACTTCCAGCGTGTTATCTAGACTGGCGGGGGGGGGGGGACCAATGCGGATCGGACGCGGGCGCACTGTTCTGTTTCTCTGTTTCACTCCGAAGCTTAGGCTGCTTCATACTTTGCGCTGTTGCGGACGTTGCAGGCGTTGCGAGCATGCGGATCCGACAGAAACTGCGAAGAGCGTTGAAACGCTCGCTGCGCCATTACGCATACTTGTAGCATAGAAGGTGCCTTTCGAGCTAGATTTCGATTTCAATGCATTCTGTCTACTTTTTGGTATTCTACGTGCCGTGTTGTTTTACGATGCGAAGTAAGAAAGCAATCTTAGTCCGCTGATGGCGCTTATTTCCAAACTGCCACGTAGCGACGAAATAGTAAATGCTCCTTGGACTAAGCCTTAGAGGAGCAGTAGCCCCCCAACTAAGTTAGCACCCCGCTTCCCTCCAGCTACGCCTGCAGCACCATGTCGAGTGGTCGAAAATGTGGTGTTTATATAACCGCCGGGGTAGACTCACTACCCCATTACAAAATTATGATAGCTCAAGCCCTGCGAGCTACCCGATTGTGTTATCGGTTTGCTTTATTTCCATGAGCTTCCTTCTCACTCACTTCATTTTGCAGACGGACAGACAGACAAACCTGCATACAAGCAAACCGACACTCCAAGATTGTGGCTTATGCTCTGCTCTGCTGCAAAACTGATTCTTTTTAGTTATCTAAAGCCCTCCGTGCTGGTAGCGATTGGTCAGACAAAGATGAGCTGCTAGATGTTGTATATTGGGGAAAGCAGGTGAGCTGGTTTCGAATAAGAACAAATTTTGTTCCATGGAGCACTTCCATAGTCAAACGTCCAATCGTAAGATTGCATAGCACTAGATAAGTTTCGATCGTTCCACACGTCTGGCGATCACACGTATCTAGAGCTGTGCCATGGTTACAATCCTAACGATCGGATGACTCACTATGGATTAGTGCTTTCAATATAGTCCTGTTCTTCACCATTGCATTTAGTTATTATCGCTGATAATTGGTATCGCGTTTGGCGCTTTTTCAATGCATGGCATATTGGCTATTCTAGCCTACATAGCAGTATCAACCATGGTAGCTCAGCATTTCGTGGTAAAATTTCAACAGGTGGGTTTTATCCTCGTTCAATTTGTACGCGGTTTTGCTAAATTCTCAAATAATTTGCATCGATGATTTCGAAGCTTCGCTGATTTGTGTGGTGGCACACAAATCTTTGATGTACAGGGTGTCCCAAAATTACTTGCGCCTATTTATTGCAATGTCTTTTGAACTGTTGGACACAGAATGGTAATTGAATATAAACATAATTATACTAACATCATACACAACAACATGCAACAACCAGATTTCAAAATGTCCTCCACCTGCACGAATACAGGCCCGGAGTCTCTTCTTGCACCATTCGCACGTTGCACGCAGGTGTTCCTTATCCAATTCTTCCCAGGCTTCCTTTGATGCTGCTTGCAATGGTTGCAGATTCATACGACGAGCTCGACATGCCTTGCTCTTAATCACGGACCAGACTGAGAGTTCCAGTGATTAAGATTAGGGGAGCAAGAAGGCATTCCTCGCGGCGACGAAGTCGGGCAGTTCGCAGCTCGCACCTGCCTCGAACGAGCTTGGCCCCATAGGCTGTAGCACTGTCCTGCTAGCACGGCTTGCTTCCCAAAGTGGGAGTTGGATCAAGGCTTCAATACGTTCACTAATATGCACGTCCTTGCTGATCTTCACACATGAATCGGCAAAATTCAACGGCATCTCACCATTGGCAGCGACTCACGTCCAATTTTTCGGTCTCTCTGCCGTTTGTTGCGAACAGAGTGAGGGGCATTTCTGCATGTGATAGAGTTGGTCCCATCCGCGTCCCATCCGAGTCGTCGCTTTTTCTTGCGCTTGTGCGACTTAGTCCTAAGATCTTTGTACTCATTCTAAAAACCATGGCTCACAGAAAGGCCAAATATTCTTTAGTTTGGCAGACGTTTTCCAGACCTTACGGATATGTCTGTTCAATTCATTCCTCGTTTTCTTTTCAATAATGATATAATCTATAATCTAATAATTTATAATCTTTTCAATAACAATGAAGACATGTTGATAAAAAGGAATAACAGAAGTGAATACAAACCTATTCGTATGGGAAGATATGTGTTTTTACTGAAACAACCACGTCCAAATTAATTTTGGAACCACTAAAGGGAAATTAAGTAAAATTTCCCTTTTCATGGCCTTAACACGTCATTTCGGTCAAACTTCCATTACTGTAACTCCTGATAAGCTAGACAGATCGAACATCATTGAAAACATTTCATCGCATCTAAGTATTGCGGATTTACAACTCAAAATCCATGGATTTGGTGTGCGGCGGCTGCGCTCGCAAAATCGCTCTTGTCCCACGCGGTGCAAAAGCACAAAACGCGCGATGTCGTCAACGTGTTAGAATGCGCCCCATCGATGACTTCGATAAATAAGTGGCCTCACCATTGTTCTGATGGAGCACCGTAAATTGCTAACCAAACAGTTCGATGATTCTATCCATGGAAACGCTGACAATTCTTCCTTGTCCAGGCTTATGAATGAGTTCTTATTCTCCTGGATCGACTGTTGGCTATCTTTTCTTGTTCACGGAAACATCAAGACACTTAACAATGTCTTAAATGTCCTATGATGCAGCATCTTCCCCAGAGATACTGGCAGTTTTACCACAATAACGATGCACTTCACTTAGCAAAGATCGCTGTCGCAAGGACTAATTACGACTAAGCACATACACTGCCCAAATGAAAATAATCGAAATACCTTTTCTAAAATTTTTGAAATTTGGCCTAGTAATTTTGGGGCACCCTGTACAAAGATATGTATCTGGTCACAAGTTCTTCACTAACCTGCAAAGATTTGCTCTTCATATCGCGGACATGAACATTAAGCAGTTTATACTCCGCGATACTCTTTCGATTTGCTTGCAATCTTAGTGGAAGGATCAGGTACGTACCGATCGCGCAGTTTGGCGCAACTGCGATCGAGCGATGGGGCTATTGGATAGGTGTCAGGCTTTCTTAACTGCGTTTGTTTTTGTTTTTTCCATGCGTGCCCCTTTATAAAACTGAACCTTTTTTTCGAAAATTGCGTGCGTTGCTGTGGCACATCTACGCTACTAGAAAATGCTAGAAGGGGTACATCTTTGACACTCTGCAACTAGCAACATTCCTCCTCTCCACTCTTTCGCCTCACTGTTGTATAGCACGAAACTCATGTCTTTTTTGGTCCACTTCGTATTGTAATTCTGTTGTATTAGGTTGTCTCATAAATAGTGTCGCTTTTTTTCAAACAAAAAATCTAGCTACTATATCCTTAAGCTTTTACACCATGTCATATACCATTCGAAAGAGAATTGTCTGCTCTACAAGATTGTGTGTTCCACTTCCACCCATGTTCCACCGTTTTCAAACTAAAGGCCTGTGCGCCGAGTGGAGGTACCGCCAGACACCTGAAAATTGACCAACCGGACAATGCCTATTACTCTCTTTCTTTGGGAAAATAAACCAAAATAAGAATCAATCAATGATGTACCCTCTACTTATGCATGACCTCTTCTAAACATTACACTATTAGGTTTCCCAACAAGTCGCGTCGTTCCATTTCCAGACCTGGTTTTTCAACCAGAACTCGACGGTCGAGCACCATTACCTGAGATCTAGGTCGAAATTTTTTTATAGCCGAGACATTGAAAAACTAGTAGAATTTAAAGAACAAGTCATGACTAAGTTAGGAATGTACGCCTGGTTGATTTTCTCATCTTCTCAGGGATAATTTTTTTCAAAGAAATGCGGTCACTTTCGTGGATAAAACACCTTATTCCTAAACACCTAAAATTCGAACTAATTCCCAACAAACATAAAAACAAAACAATGAGCGAATAGAGCAGAAGAAGTGCTCACAAAAGGAACACCACTCGATATGAAACAATGGCGTTTACGAGGAACAATTTTTGCTATGGCTTATCCGTCAGCTAATTCGAAATGAATGACGGTAAAGCTTTTTAGGAAACCTAACCTGTAGAGGGCACATCATTGATTGATTTCTCCTAAGATAAAGTTAGAGCTAGTTGTCGGTTTGGTCAATTTTTGTCGGCGGACCTCCCATTTCGCAGGCCTAAAATTTGAAAACCCTGGAACAGAGGTGGAAGGAACACAACATCTTGTAGAGCAGACAATTCTCTTTCGAATGGTATATGACATGATGTAAAAGCATGGGATTTAGATGAAAATTTTTTGTTTGAAAAAAGCGACACTATTTATGAGACAACCTAATAATTGCAAAGAGCGGCAAAGGAGTATGATGGTTTCGCACTGAGATAACAAAAAGCCTAGTACGTGACATGTAGGAAGACGCATGATATCAACGTCACCATTTCCAATGATTTGCAAATAATCGTAGTTTCATTCCACGCCAACTGCGATGCCCATGCAGGAGAAATATTTCGAATCTTTTTTTTTCAACATTTACTTTCATATTTTGCTTTCTTTATTCGTCCCAATTATTCTTCTCTAAATCATCTTTGTTACTGTTGTTCCTACTTCAGGTAGATGAGGACGATGTAGGAGGATTCTGGGAACTAGCTAAGGAAGGATTCGGATCCGCTTTTGCAACATTCATGGTTGCGTGGATCACTGTGTATTCGGCTGTTTACCAAAGTTCTTCATAGCTATCCGAATATTGTAAACAGTTAAATTTCCTGCCACCATTCTGTCAATCATTTTTAGTGAAATTTAGAGTGGTAGCTTACGACTACCTAATATTGACTCACAGTTCTTTCGAAAGTGTGATGAATTGGTTTAAATAGCATAGTTCCTAGAGCGAATTACTCATTCGACCTTTCACAATAACGTATTAATTTATTATAACTACATTGTATGCAATGATACATCGTCGTGATTTGGGATCAACGTAGACGTAACGACGTAGTTCAAGCAAACCTTTGGGTTTATGATAGCAGAAATTTGATGTCTGTGATAAATGTTTTCCCTTGCTGTAATTGAAACTATAGCTATCACGGTCCAGTCCAGTTCTATGAATTCCATACTCACAGTGATGCTAGAAGTTCATTTACCTGATTCAATGATGTAATCTTTGTTCAGGTTCTGCAAAGATTTCAGCTCATATGCAACCGGCGGAACCCTATTGAAATTACTCACCGTATTGCCCTTTGGGTTTACTGATCTCGTACGTTCCTGATACTTTCAATCGACTAACCTTTTTTCTTTACATTCATTACATTAAGTGGTTTTCAGCACAAAATTCTTCTCTACTCTCGTGATTCGTTCATGACTAACCACACTGAAGTCTTCTAATGAGTTGTGTACCACTATACTTGTTGATTACACTAGCGATTTTGATTTCGGCTGCGACACAATCTAGTAAGGTTCATGTATTTTTGTTTCCTTTTTATCTCAACTGAGCAGTTCATTGCGTTTTTGCCTGTGGGGAACCTGTTTCAAGTTTACTCACAATGTACTAAACGCACGTTTCGCAAAGGCACGCTCTGTAGGTAGGTGTTGGGCTTTGCAATGGTCGGCCATTGGTCGTTATCGATCCCTATCGGATTTCGCAACTGTGCAGTCGCGACAGCGACAATGCTGTTACGATTGCACAGTCGCTGAGTCTGACTGCAAAGCACAGCTGCCGTCTGAAGTGCATGTTGAAGAGGACTTGCTTCTTCAATGGTCATAACAACCTTGT